TGCTGCACTGAGGCACCGTGACTGATGGGAGAGACTGACACACAGATAGAGGGCCTCAACGTAGGGATGCCCTGCCTTCCCTTCCTGCCTCAGGCCTTTGCACTTGCTTCTGCTGGAACATGCTCTTTTGACCTGAGATTATTTTTTTTTAAATATATTTTATTGATTTTTTACAGAGAGGAAGGGAGAGGGATAGAAAGTTAGAAACATCAATGAGAGAGAAACATCGATCAGCTGCCTCCTGCACACCCCCTACTGGGGATGTGCCCGCAACCAACCAAGGTACATGCCCTTGACCGGAATCGAACTTGGGACCCTTCAGTCCGCAGGCTGACGCTCTATCCACTGAGCCAAACCGATTAGGGCTGACCTGAGATTATTGATCCTTGGCCACCTCCACCTCCCCATTCAGATCTCAGCTCAAACCTCACTTCTCCAGAAAGATCTCTGAGCATTCCACCACCTACATCAGTCCCCCAGGCATTGTCACCTCCCCATAACTTTCTGTCTTCAAAACCCAATCACCTCTGAAATTGTCTTGTTTCTTATCTTCTCTGCTTCCCACTATGACAGTGTTTCTCAGCCTTTTTTTCCTTATTACCACCCCCAAGGAGTCTTCTTAAACATTTTTGTCCTAATTGCCCTCCCATTACATTTGAATACCACCACTGTACTATGTATGTCCATATGTGCTGTGGTGCTGCAAAGCCACAAACCACTGCAATATTTTTCACTTGGCTCCATTGGAGTTGATATCACCCCAGTTGAGCATGCACAGACTACAACACAAGCTCCAGGAAAGCAGGAACCTTGTTTGTATTGCTCACTGCTGTGTCTCCAGAGCCGAGCTTGGTGCATGGAAGGTGTTCGGTAAATATTTATGGTGTGAATGAAAGTCCATAAACCCTGGAAGCACAAAGACGACTTTTGTCCCAAAGTTGGAGAAGGGACTAGTAGGGAAGGATTCTGGGAAGACAGGACTCCAACGTGAGGTTGGCTAACTGAAGAAGAGAGATGCAAGAAGGGTGACCAGTTAGAGGGACACAGTGTTGGCAAAGGCACAGGGCCAGGAAGCACTCTGGAGCATGTGGGGTGGGCCCAGGACTGTGGGAGGGAGGGCCTTGAAAGTGGGCCCAGCCTTGACTTCTGTGGACCCTGGTTCTTGTCTTACCATTCTGAAGGGCCCCAATGTCAAGCTGGGAGACCCCAGTTTCTATCCAAGTTCTACCACAAACTGGCTGCGTGACACTAGAATGGGCAGGTGTGCTGGCCTTATTGACTTGTGGGGTCTGCCTGGCTGGTAGCCCATGATTCTCCCATGGGGGTCATTAGCCACTGCCTCTCGCCAGTGGCCCTGAAAACTCCCACGTGGATTCCTGTGGTAGCAGTCACAACTGCAAAGAGAACTTCCTCCATTTTGCTGTAACCCACGCTGAGGATGTAGACAGTCTCCCAGGCCTGGGTCTCCTAAAGCCTCTGTGACATCAGAGACCTCCCTGCAACTCATCCTTACGTCTCATCTCTCTGCCCACCATGCCAGCTCTGGCTAAAACCAGTGGGAGCCATTGAGGAGCACTGGGGGCTTATCTCTGCTTTTCCAGACTGGGCTGCTTTCAATCCTGTTTATTTATCCAGAGCAGCCGCCCGCTGAGAAAATGGCTGTGTTTGTTTCCAAGTGTGTCGTGTGAACCGTGGGCTAAATATACCCACACTGCTGCCTCCCGGCACCCGCCCTGGAACAGCACGCCCCATTCTGCTGGTGCTGTCTACAAAAGCAATTCGCAGAATCCACAGCCTTGGAAATCCTGCCCCCCTCCACCCGCCTAAGAGAAGGCGCTCCTTGAAGTGGAGATGAAGTGTTGTTCTGGCCAGGAATGCACTCGTGGGGGCTGGGCAGGTCAGAGCCTTGTTCTTGATGGCACCGAAATGAGAATGTTCCCTCCACCCTGGAATGACTGTTCCTGGACAGTGAGTGCTTTGTGCCTTTGCAGGGACAGAGCCTGTTTACTCCAGCCCAGCCCCAGAGCCGAAAATGTCCTGTGGCTGCCAGCTCTCTACTTCAGGAAAGTTCCCACTGAGGGAGCCAGGCCGCTCCCACTTTGGCTACAGCCCCAATGTCCCGGGCTTCTTATGGGACATTTGGCCCCTTGGGATAACCATGGCCTTCTGGCCATGCCTCCCCACAGCCCAGGACTCCCCCCATCACAGGTCTGTCTTTTTTGTGAATTCACCTGGGCCTACTTTGCTTCGGATCAGAAAAATTAAAACTCCTATAAGAATTTTCTTTTGCCAACAAAAATGGAGGCTAGCCAGGGTAAAGATGGAGAGACAGGGACGCATATCCACACCAGCCATGCCTGGCAGCAACAAGGCCAAGAATTCAAGGGGGGCTGCCTGCTGCCGCTGCTATACCTTCTCCCCAGGCCCAAGACTCACCTCCACCCGACTCCACCCCACATCCATTTAAACGGGAATCCGTTCAGCACTAGTGACAGGACAGGTCCTCCCCAGTGTCTCGCACAGGGAATGTAGCAGCACTCCCTTTGGGGCTGGGCAGTCCTGAGTTCTGATCTGGGCTTTGCCACCTTTTAGCAAGGCCTTCCTGTTGTAAACCTCAGTTGTCTCATCTGTGAAATAAGTTTCAGATCGCTAGTCTGGGAATTATGATGCTGCAATGAGATAATAGTGCCTGGCACTTAGTAGACATGCAATACTTTCGTTCTACTCATGTATTTATCGACTACCAACTATGTGCTAGATAGTGTTCTGGGTGTATAGAAACAAGACAAAATCTCTGCCTCGTCAAGCCACATCGAGTGCAGGAGATAAAGCAAACAAAAACAAAGTGTAGAATCTGGTTATGAAAAGTGCCGAGAAGAAAAATAAAGGAAGGTAAGGAGATAGATAGATGGGGGTGGATACCATGTTAGTAGCAGAGTCAGGAGTGCAGAGAGGGAGGGGGGCAGGTGATGATCTCGGCTCCAGCGCTCCAGGCAGCAAGAGCAACAAGCTCCTGAGCTCAGCAGAGACTCCGGAACGGCGAGGGGGCCGTGCTACGTGTGGAGTGTGCAGTGGGGAGGGGCCCTGCTAAGCCTGCTGGTTGTGATAAGGACTTGATTCCAGGCACGATTGGGAAACCTCGGGAAGGTTAAGAGCTTGGAGTGATGTGGTCTGAATGGGACTTTTCCCAGCAGACGGGTAAGCTTTCTGGTAAGGGCTGTGGCTCATGTGTCACTGCTACCTTCCTAATGGCTGAATAAATGTTGAGGATTCTTTGAGTCAAGTTGGCAGCTCAGTGCACGTGGCACTTGCTAGGATACCAGGGACATGAACAGACATGAATGACAGTGGCTTTCTGAGCGTGGAGAGAAGCTGTTAGAGGGCTTTAAGCACAGGCATACTATGATCTATGTTTTTAAAAACCTTCTTTGTGTGGAGCATGGACTGAGGGGGGTTATCAAGACCAGAGGTGGGGCCAGTCAGCATCAGAGAGAGCAAACTGGCTGGGTGCGACCTGGGGCCCATTGGAGACGGCAGGCCCTGTCTGAGGAGCAGGCACACTCAGTTAGCTGGGACCAGGTGGAACTGTGGCCCAAGGGGTGAGCGCTTGGCGGAGGCAAGAACACTGGCTCTGGAACCAGCCAGGAATTCATCTCATTCCCTCCCCGGACCCACACAGCGCATTGATTTCAAGGTGCCACATGCTAGACTTGGGTTTTGGTTCCACCACTGACGAAGCTGGGTGACCTGATCAAGTCCCTCCGCACTCAGAGGCCAATTTCCTGGTCTGTAAACGGGGAGAGACAGCCTGCCTTGCAGCATTGTTGGGAGGATTAAAGGACAAATCGGGTGGGAAGCTTCTCATTAAAGGGTACTCTAAGCTCCCCTTTCCCTGCCCCACAGGCCAAGCTGGGCTCTCTGCTGTACCCTGGCTGGGTAATTTAACCCGAAGCCCCTCCCTCCCATATCATGTGCTTCCCTCCTGACTAGCTTCAGGGCCCAGAGTTGTTGCTCACCTCCTCCTGGACACAGAGTCATGGCTTCCCCCCCCCCCCCCCTCCATCCCCCGGGGGAACAGGGCTGGAGCTCATAGACCCACCCCAGGCCTGTGTGCTTGTTCTGGTCTCTGTGTTGCCCTGCTCAGCCTCCCTGGGCAGAGGAAGAGGGAAACATCCTCTGCCAGGAATCATTCTGGGAATTCACTTTCCCTTTTCTCTCCCTCCCTCTCTCCATCACAGCAGTAGAAAGCTTATGGCTCCACCCTGCCCTCACTCAGACTCTACTCCAGGTTTCTCTGGGGCTTCAATCACACGTGGTCAGCTCTCGATCACCCCTGCACCCTCGTCTCTCCTATCCCTTCCTTCTGCACTCTGCTCCAGCAATTGGCCTCCAGTCATTTCCTGCCCATCTCTTTCCCACCTCGGGTTCTAGAGTACCGTTTCCTAGCTGTCTGACCTGGAACAAGGCTCTTTTCCTACTTCACACTCGCTTTCTCAGCAATAAAATGGGTTGGTCATTTCCAACTGGAGGTCAAGAAGGAGGGCAGTTCTTAACCCTTTATCAGGCCCAGCGTGGGCAAGGATGACAGCAGTTTTTCACATTAAGGCCATCGCTTGAAGGTGGCCCCCTTCTCCAAGCACCACATTACTGTTTGAGGGTTCCAATAGCACCTCTCCTTCTCTCTCTCTCCCTGCAGGACACCTTTGTGGAACTCTACGGGAACAACGCAGCAGCCGAGAGCCGGAAGGGCCAGGAACGCTTCAATCGCTGGTTCCTGACGGGCATGACTGTGGCTGGCGTGGTTCTGCTGGGCTCACTCTTCAGTCGGAAATGACCAGACACTGACCATCCACTCACCCTCCCACGCCCGTCCTTCCCCCACCACATCCCTCCTTTCAGCCACCATTGCCACCAGGAGAACCACTACATATAGCCCATGGCCACCCTACACATCACAGGGTTGGGCCTAGACCTGGTCCCCCACAATTAGTTTTCTAGAATTGACTATGCTTCTGTGAGAGCTGCCTTCCCCCACACCTCAGTTCTCCTGGCCTCAAAACCCACAAAGTTTCCCCAAAATCTGCCCCATGGAGCTGGCAGGCATGTGGGAGTTCATGGCTGATGGCTGGAAGGGCCCTACCTGATTGGTGGGACCTCCTTATCCCTTAGCCTCCTCTAGAATGCTTTCCTGCCAGGGAGCTAGAAAGTTTTCTGACCCTTTTTCCTAGAAAGACTAGATTGCCTTCGTTTTCATGTTTGTGGCCTCAGAATTGATCATTTCTTATCCCCACCCCACCCTACCCTCTAGGACCTGGGTTCCCCTTTCTTTCATTCCCACCCTCCAGTGGCCACTTAGGGGCCAATTCTGACTAATTAGGGATTCAGGCTGCTTGGGATAAAGAAACAAGGACCAGGACCCCCTCCCCAACTCTGGCCTGACCAAAGTCTCCCCTCCCACCCCAGCCCCAGTGTCCTCTAGAGGTGTCTGGCTAGAGGCCAGCCTAACCCAGGAGGAGGGGGCTGTCCTGCAGGAAGCACCCCATACCAAAGCTTGGGTGTCCCTTGCAATTTAGCACTACCCCAGCTTCCCTCCCTTTCCCCTCCCCTGGCTCCCATGACCGTGACTGAGGGACCAACTGGGCCCAAGACAGGTGCCCCAGAGCTGTTTATGGCCTCAGCTGCCTCACTTCCTGCAAGATCAGCCTTGTGGCATCTTTGCTTTGGATTGCTGCCCATGGCGTTCAGAGGCCTCGGCCCAGAGGGGAAGGGGGGCTACAGGCAGTAGCTATGGGAGCCCTAGGGTCTTCCCTACCTCAGGCAGGAAGGGCAGGAAGGAGAGCCTGGTGTGCAGGGTGGAAGTAGGGCTGCCTGGAGGGGCCAGTCCTGCCTGGCCAAACAGATTTGTGCCCCACCCCCATTCAGCCTAGGCAGCTGGGCTGCCAGGTCAGAATGGCCTGGCCAGGAGCGCTTCAGGCCTCCCTCCCTCCTCTGCTCTACCCATGGCCTGTCTCATCCCTGGGGGTCCCGGCCTAGCAGCCCTGCCCCCCCACCCGCACCCGCTGGGCTCTCTGCTGTACATATTCAAAACTAGTTTTTATTCCTTGTGAAGATATACTATTTTTGTTAAGCGTGTCTGTATTTATGTGTGAGGAGCTGCTGGCTTGCTGTGCGTGTGCACATGGAGAGCTGGTGCCCAGAGATTGAACAGCCTGACGCTCCCTCCCTGCCCTGGTCCGAGGAAGCCAACCGGGGGTCCTGGCTCCTGAGGGGCACCTATCCCTCCCCCAGCCCCCTCCCCACACTTGTCCCAGCTCTTTGAAATAGTTTGTGTGAAGGTGAAAGTGGAGTAATAAACTGTGTTGAGCATTGAGCAAAGGGCCTGGGCTCTTGTGTGTTCTGGGGCGGGAAAGAAGGGACTGCTCGCCTGACACACAGGCCGGAGGAGAGCTGGGTTCTGGTGCCAGCTGTGCCGCCCTCCGGGGAGGCCCGTGGACAAGTTGCTTTCTCCCTTGGGCCTGAGTTTCTCCACCTGCATATTGATGGGCTTTTTATTGAGCACTTGCTGTGTGCTGGGCACGGGCTGTATGTGAACAGGACGGGCAGTTCCTGACCCCAGGAGCTGACATTCTGGTGGGAGAAACAGTCAGATAGCCATAGGCACAGTCTTAGACACTGGGGATTCTATAGTGAACAAAGTCCTTGCCTTTACGGAGCTTTCATTCTAGTCAGGGAGACAGACAGACAGACAAATACAAAGACAGCTGTTGCAGAGGTGGAGACGACCATGAGGAAGCACGGCCAGACGGACCTAGTGGGGAAAGAGATAAGGGGTCAGACTTGAGGTAACATATTAAAGGCAGATATCACAAGATCAGCTGTTTTAGAGAGAGTTCTAGAGCGTAAGGAGGCAAGGGTGATTTGAGTTTTTGAAACAATGACGCCATGACAGTTACAAAAACGAAGTGCACGTCTGAGGCCAGTACTACCCAAGAGGCTCAGACTGGTTAACAGCATTTCATTCGGGGCCTGAGCAAAACTGGGAGTCAGGAATTCGGCCTCCCTCGGGGTGACCCAGAGGCCCGGGCCTGAAGACTATACAGGTTAACTAAGGGGAGCAGGGGCGAGTGGTCCTGATGAAGCAGCAGATGCCCAGACTGAACAGTTTTCTTCGAGCTGAAGAAAAGTTGGGGTGTCTGGAGTTGAGAAATGGGGAGAGGGGACTGAACTTGATCCTGAGTGCAGCCAGTGAGGCTGCTAGGGAATGACATGCCCCTTAGGGCCCCCAAAGCGCGCTGGCTGCTGTGTGAAGAAAGTTCCGGAGGAGGAGCTGAGTCAAAAAGAAGACGTGGTTTGGTTAACGCTCCGGTTCCGAGGATAGGCCAGGTGTGTGTATCTTGGGTCACCATTCCTGGTCTTTGGGCAAATTACCAACCACTGTACCTCAACTTTTCCCTCTATGAAATGGGTATGATGGCAGCACTCCTCTTAGGCCGTGGTGGTCAAGATTGAATGAGATAACCCCAACAGAGGGCTGGATGTTGAAGGGGCTGCAGGTCATCACTAACGTGGACTGAAGGGTCCCTGGTTCGATTCCGGTCAAGGGCATGGTCAGGACTCGCACAGGATGCGGCCAGTCAATTTGTTTCTCTCACAATTGATGTGAGAGAAACGCTAATAGGCGGACTCCCCAGGAGGAGGGAGGAGGTGCACCTCATGAAGTTCCAAGTGGCTGAGACCTGAGATGGGTCGGGGAGAGGTCTGGGAAAGCGGGCGGGCCTGGAGGCGGGACCTGCCTCCGGCGCTCCGACCCACCCGCTTACAGGAGCGGGCTTGATTGCCCCCTGGTGGCCGGGGAATGCGACCTGACAGCCACTCCCACCCCAAGACACCTCCCTGCAGGCCTGTGTCCTGCCTGGCCAGCGTTCTCTGGTGTCAGTCCTTCCTGCTCACCTGAGGACGTCTGCGCTTCCAACCCTTGGGTTCTCCCGGGCTCAGGATCACCATTCTTAGTTCAAGACCAAAGCCTCCAGCTTCCCACCCACCTCTACGTCTACAAAGTGTCCCCGGCCCTTAACCTAGCCATTCAAGTCCCCACCCTAGATTCTTGATATCCTTCCAGAAACTCTTTTCACACACAGGCAAATATAGCTATCAATACAGTTTGATTTTTTTTTTTAACACAAAAGGTAACAGACTGTGCCTTGCTTTTTAAAAATCATCACCCGAGGATATTTTGCCATTGATTTTAAGAGAGATTGGAAGAGAGGGAGAAAGAGAGAAATATTGATGTGAGAGAAACAAATCAATTGCCGCCTCTTAGGCAAATCCTGACCATGCCCTTGACCGGAATCGAACCCTTCAGTCCACAAGCCAATGCTCTATCCACTGAGCCAAACCAGCTAGGGCTATAAATGGTTTTTTTAATATATCTTTTAGCAAGGCAAGGATTGAAGGTTAACTTTGACTTCTTGGCATGGTTCTGCATTCTCTAAAAGTTTAAGATAATGATTGTATGCATTTCTGTGCAATTTTTAAAAATTAAGTCATGCAGAAAAATCAGGTCTTATATCATGATCAAATTTATTACATAATGTCCGGCTCTGCATTTTTCTCTACCACCACAGCCTTTGTCATGAGGAAAAAATAACAATAACTTTTTCTTAATACAAAGAAGATAGAAATTAACTCATATGTTCTCTATAAATTTGCCTTCTTTGATTTTTAATAACTATCCATGCACTAATGTTAGAATTTTGGGCATATGGAGTATCAATTCCCTCCTTAATTATTTAAACCATTCCATTTCAGTAGGTTCACACATGAATAAGTAGCTTGAATAATTCCATGAGAAAGAGCCTTATGAATTCTTATGAAATTTAAATGGTTTTACAATAAAGCCAATCTTAAATTTTGGGGAAGCCATTATTAAAACTCTAAAGTACTGAAGGCAGGGGTGGGAGGGAAGAAATCAACCAAAGACCTTGTATGCATGTATGTATAACCCATGGACACAGACAATAGGGTAGTGAAGATCTGGGGCGGGTACAGATTCGGGCTGGAAGGGGTCAATGGGGGGAAAAGGGACATAGGTAATACTTTCAACAATAAATATTTAAAAAACAACAAAAACCCAAAACACTAAGGTATTGAGAAAATGGACATAAAGTAAGAAAAAAGTCGTCTGAAAATAAAGACTATAAACATAACGTAGTGGCCTAGAAAAAAAAACTATGCCCTGTCCTATTACATTGTAAAATAATAACGATAAATAAAAATAACGTCAAGGCCTTATTGGCAAACCATGTATGTGGTGGAACACCCCACTGCAGGTGCTTGGCCCAGGCTTTTAGGCACATCAATCTCGCCTAGGCTTTGTGCTAAGCCCCCTGGGCCCCTGGAAAACAAACTCCAGTGGCTCCATGGACTTTGTGGAGGGCGCGTGGCCTTCCCAGGGCAGTGGCCATGTGCTCTGGGCCGACCACTGCAGTAGTTGTCCAGGAGGGAAGAGCCCAACCTTGGTGGTGCTCAGCTTCTCCTGGTAGAGCAGGGGGGGACAGAGGAGCAACAGGTGAGTGTAGTGGTTAAGAACAAGACACTGCAACTAGACTGCCTGGGGGTAGCTGGGTGCCCGTGGACAAGTGGGTTTTTTCTGCCTCAGAGATCCCAGACTTGAAGCTGAAGAAGCTGGAGCTGGCTGTCCAAAAAGCAAATGGGCACAGAAAAGAAAAAACAGCCCATTCTCTCTGGGCAAAGGATTAGGAAAGGAACAACCTAGCAAGACAGAAATTTTTTAGACAATAACAGCTCTACTATGGCCCCATCCACATCAGCAAAGGCCAAGTGGGGAGCCTAGATTTCCAGCTTCATGGGTCAAAGTATTCAACTACCCCACCAATGTAGGGTATTGTGAGAGAAGGCCAAAGCTTTGATCTCTGCTGGCCAGTAATGAGCCCTACCCTGCCACACCCTTCCCCACAACGTCAATAGGAAACACTTTGGGAGCCTGGAATTCCATCCCTACCTAACAATACAAAAGTGGGTAAAGAAACATAAAGGAAGACAAGGTTCCTATGTTTCACTCAAATTAGAAAACTGATGACACCAGTAGACTGTGATAAGTTATATATACGTAATATAACAGCTACAGCAACCACTACAAAAGCTATACAGAGACACTAAAAAAAACCCACTATTGCCCGGCTCAGTGTGGCTCAGTTGGTTGGGCATAGTCCCGTGCACCAAAGGGTTGTTGGTTCCATTCCTAGTCAAGGCAATTGATTGGGTTGCCTGCTCAATCCCTGATGGGGTGAGTGCAGGAAGCAGCCAATCCATGTTTCATTCTCACATTTATGTTTCTCTCTCTCCCTCTCCCTTTTTCTCTCTCTAAAAATCAATTTTAAAATCTTTATTAAAAAATATAACAGTATAGATCATTTGAATTCTAAAAAATAAATTTCAAATAACCCTCAGGAAGGCAGAAAAAAAGAAAGACAGTGACATGAATAACAGAGAGAACACACATAAAACAAACCAAAAAAATTGAGTGGCTCAGTAGTTGAACCAGCAGGTCATGGTTCAATTCCCAGTCAGGACACATGCCCGGGTTGCAGGCTCAGTCTCCAGTGTGGGGCATGCAGGAGGCAGCTGATCAATGATCCTGTCTCATCATTGATGTGTCTCTCTCTCTCTCCCTCTCCCTTCCTCTCTAAAATCAATAAAAATATTTTTTAAATTGGGAGATATGTCTTAACCTATCAATAATTATCTTACCGTATTTGCCGGCGTATAAGACAATTTTTTGGCCCTGAAAAATATGCCTCCAAGTGGGGGGTCGTCTTATACGCCAGGTACACTTCAGATAGACTGCCCATAGTGCTTGCCCTGTGCCATAGTGGCCTCCCGATGCCCGCCCACTTCATTCCACATACCGTTCAGGCATCAGCAGCGCTGCTGGGTTTAT